ATCCCGTGCTGTTTTTGCCCCTACCCCCTCCCCCCTCCCGTTTTATCTCTAACCCGGCGGCCTGCCGTTGGACGCCCCCGTTTTGTTGTCTTTCACCTCCGGTCTGACTTCTGACACCTGGGCCTGCCATGTGGAAGCCCTGATTTGTCGCCAGACACCCTGGTGTCCCCCAGTGACACACCTGATCCGTCCTCCTACACCCCCGGGTCCGTCGTCCGACACTCCGGGTCCGCCTTCGGTGCCCCGGGTCCGTCCTCCGACACTCCGTGTCCGTGTCTTTCCACCAACATCCCAGTCCGTCCTCGGACACCCCGAGTCCGTCGACCAACACCCCCGGTTCGTCCACCAACACCCCCTGTCCGTCCACCAACACCCCCGGTCCGTCCTCGGACACCCCCGGTCCGTCCTCGGACACCCCCGGTCCGTCCTCGGACACCCAGAGTCCGTCGACCAACACCCCCGGTTTGTCCACCAACACCCCCGGTCCATCCACCAACAACCCCGGTCCGTTCTCCGATACCCGGGCTGTGTCTAACGCCGAGGTTTCTGTGCCGCGCAGGAGCAGCTGCGGCAGGAGCAGAGCGACGTGGGCCAGCAGCGCGAGCTTCTCTACCGCCAGCTGGACGCGCTCCGCTCGCAGGGCATCATGCTGTCGCCCACTCTGCAGGTGGTAACCACGGCACAGCCGGCGGCGGCGGCCGAGCCGGCCGACGAGGCGGGTCCGGCGCCGGCGCCGGCTGCCGCGCCGCCGACCGGCCGCACCGCCGCCAAGCTGAAGTCGTCCAGCTCGATGCTGCGCCGCGGCGACGTGACGGCACTGCCCAGTCATCTGCTCAGCTCGATCAACCAGCAGAAGGCGGCGGCGGCGGCCGGCGCGCACCAGCCGCCCGTCAAGCAGGAGCTGCCGATGAAGCTGGCCAAGCTGTCGGCGCTGGGCGGCGGCGGCGGCGGCGGCGGCCGTGCACCGGCCGCGGCTCCGGCCACCTCTCCAGGCGGCGGCGCCGCGCAGCAGGGCTCGCCGGGCGTGCAGCAGATGCTGCCGATGAAGCTGAGCGAGGACCGCGGTGGCCGGCCGCCGGCGCAGGGCGGCTACCAGCGGCTGGGCGGTACGCCGCAGCGGCAGGCGGCGCAGCGCACCAACACCTACCCCAAGATGCCGGCGCGGCCGACGCCGCCGCGCCGACCGGCCACCACCACCGTCACCAACCTGGCCACGGCTGGCCTGGCGACGGTGACGAGCGCGGCCGGGCCGACGCGCGGCCATGCGCCGGGGCGGCCCGAGCTGCCGCCGCGGCCGACCGCCGTCCCCGCCTCCGCCCCCGCCCCCGCCGCCCCCTCCAGCGTCTCCACCGTCAGCGTCACGGCTGACTCTGAGGAGATCATCTTCTTCTGAGGCGGCGCTGGCCGGCCGTGGCCGCGCGGGCGACGACGAGCATTCCTTCAGAAGCTGTGAGGGCTGGCCGCGGGGCCCGGCCGAGAGGACAGAGCGTGACGCGAGGGGGCGCCGCCACCGGACGGCGCGCGCGCGCCGGGGACGGGGCCGCGCCTCCAGCGCCTGCAGCAAAGCAGCCGCCGTGCTCAGGTGCGGCGCGACGCACGTGCGCCGTGGTCCGCGGACAGGCCGGGCCTGCGCACCGCAGTCCGCCGGCGACTCTCTGTGAACTGGCCGCTTGTTGGGACGGGGGTGCCACGCTCTGAGACGGCAGTGGCGCTGTTTGACGCCGGGGCGCTCGGCCGCGGCCGGCTCCGGCCGGGTCGGCTGCCCCCTGCCGTCGCTGCGAGCGGCAGCGCCGGCTGTTACCCCGTAGTTTATTTTACCGTCCGCCAGCGTACCTGTAGGTGTTAACGTCAGCTTTATCGGAAGGGTTTACCGTCTTACCTACTTAACGCGCCGTCGCGTGCATCGTTGGGAGTGACGTCGGCCGGTGGGGGTGGCTGGAGGGCGCCGTTGGTCGGAGGGGAACGACCAGGAGCGTGACTTTGAATTCGGGACAGAGCCTCAGCTGGTGCTGGGTCATGCAGCGTGGCAAAAATCTGGGTTGCAAAGAGTTTAACCGAGTCTCTACCACTGATCCGAAATTAAGGTCGCATCATCTGACGAGAACCTGGGACGAGCACCTGAAATGGCCCGTTGGCCAAAACTTTGACTTGGATGCTGACATTGCCCTGGGAGGACAGGGAGAGGGTTGGGGTGGACAGGGGGGGGGGGGGGCAAATAGCGTCACTTGAGTTTCTTTCCCCGAGCGGTACCTGCATTCCTCGGAAGCTCGCGGCAGCTATTGATCAAACGACGCTCAGCTGGGTCCGCCGCCGCCCGCGGCGCTCTGTATTTATTGGTATGTGTTTCCGTGTGGGGTGCGCGCGCTCGTGACCGGCGTGTTCAGCGTGTCGTCGCGGGCGCCCGTCCCGTGGACCTGTACACCACGTGACTGCGGGACCGAACCGACCTGCGCATCACGTGACAGCTGGGTCGTTCTGACGGGCGTGTGACGACGTAACCGTGGCGTGCTGTCCTGCGAATCACGTGGCTGCTGAGCCGGCGTGGTCCGCGCGTCACGTGACGACTGGGCTGGACTGGGTTTCACATCACGTGGGCTAGGCCCGGCGATGCGGACCCTGTGCGCGGCCGATGGGGCCACGCACCACGTGATGTTGCCCCGAGACGTGACGGTGTGGGGGATGTTCGGTGCCTGGTGTTGCGTGTATATCACGTGACTGTGCGCCCGGGCATGGACGCCGCTGTACCCCATTGATAGTAGCATTGAGTCGAATACGATATTTTGTAGCGAGCATCTGTACCCTCTCACGACGGAATAAATCACGTTTGTTAAAAGAATGTCGTTTGGAGCGCCGTTAGGACATGCTGAGATGTGGCGCCGTTTGAAGTGCAATTTTCTCCTCTGTGGATTCGCATCACATCCAAACAAATGCGGCGAAACGGATCCCTGCACGGACTGGACACATCCCTGGTTCAGGATGCAGGTCTGGATTGGAGTGAGCTGGGCAGAATGGGAAGGCTTCGGCCAACTCGGATTGGGACTGGACTTGATCGCGAAATTGAGGCGGTTGAAGTTAACCAGAATCAATTAAAGTGTATAATGTCCATTTAAAAATCGTATGACCATATGCGTTAAATTGAGTATTGTTTATTTAACCGAGCTGAAACGTAATGAACTCATGTGGATAGCTTGGAGATAATTTCACTGCGGGGAACTAGACCAGGTCGCATTCGATTGCTTTTTCAACGACATATCGCGTGGTGAGTTGGATCTAAAGGGTTCACTTTTGGTCGAGTGCACTTCTCACGGCAGGTTACCCGAGGTTTTCTTACAGAGCCTCACGGCTCATTTGTTGGCCTAGTGTTCGGATGTGTGAAATAATTCAGTCCATGCTCGACTGACCCGAAATAGCCGGCTGCCCATCTACACCGCTCATCACCTGTAAACTGAACAGAATCTGGCTAAAGCTGTACGAGACCTACGTACACGACAGCCGGGGTACTTGTGCATTTGGCTGCGGCGCTTGTACACTTGGTTGCGGCACTTGTACACTTGGCCGCAGTACTTGTACACTTGGCTGCCGCACGTGCACACTTGGCTGCGGCTCTTATACACCTGGCTGCGGTACTTGTACACCTGGCTGCGGCACTTGTACACATGGCTGCGGCACGTGTACATTTGACTGCGGCTCTTGTGCACCTGGCTGCGGCACTTGTGCACCTGGCTGCGGCGCTTGTGCACTTGGCTGCGTCACTTGCACGGTTGGCTGCGGCACGTGTACACTTGGCTTAGGCACTTGACTCCGTCACGCTGACCTCCGGCGGTGCTTCACTGATCAGATGTATAAACATTGAAAACGGAGGCCAAAATAAAGCCCGCTTCCTGAGCGTCGCCTAACACGGACAAGGCGATGCCGCCTAGCAGCGCGCTCGTTAATACATACTTGCAAGAAGTCAGTGCTTCACACGAGCGCTCGGGTGTACCCTTCGTTGGGTTAGGAGATTTATTTCGTGCTTCACACGAGCCCGGGGGTAACTTTCGTTCAGGTAGGGGATCCATTTGACCCCTGTGAGATCTCAAAAGTTGAGCTAGCTAGAGGCACAAAATTCGCAAGGTGGGCTTACCTGCATGTGAGCCAACTTGTGTCAGCATTTGAGGTTTCTAGGTTTTGACCTCCAGGCCAATTAAGATCAAACAGGCCAAAAAACTCCAGAATGATGTCCAAAGTACCCGCTCACCTCCTCACGTAACCGGCTCGAACCTAAATACTTAATCTGAGCAAAAAGTCGCCACTGTTTTTTTACGCCAGTGACCTTGTTTGACCTTTGGATGCTCATGGTGACCAAACTCCTGCAAGATTGTTTGGATTTTTACATTCGGGATGGCGGTAGGCGTATGCCTCTGAAAACAAAATGCTAACCTGGCTCATTTTAGGTCAGTGACCTTCACTGACCGCTGAGAAGCCAATAACGGACGTCTGATGCGGTCCCTGGCATTAATGAATGCGAAATGATCACCAGAAACTACGAAAGACAACAAGCTCTCGAGTAAAACGGCGGATTGTTTGAAACATTGGTCTGGCCCTCATACTTGACACTATATTAACGAATGCGTCAAAATTCAGAATCAACTTGTGTCACCTACATTTTTGTGCCTAATAAATCATCTCAAGATGTATGGTTCCTCCAATCTGAATCGATACTTCATTGACGCATCAGATTGAACGATTCCCGAGAAACTGCCTTCGCTGACAGCCACCGCCTGATTTCGACCTAGCGTAGGGTAGTTACCTTTCAAGGTACATCTAGTTTTTATGCCACGAGATCCGCTATTTGATCGCCTACAGCTATGCAACATTTGGTGCGGCTAAGCCGTGCCGTTCGAAAATTATTCCGCAAAAACCCTCGGGGATGGGCGTTCAGTTTAATCCCCCACCCGAGCGGGTATTAATAGTCTCTAAAACGGAAGAAATAATGGCAACAGACGTGAACACCAAAGGCTGCGCCACAGCTATATAACATTCCTAAGCCACGCGTCAGGGTGCAGCTGCGAGCGAGCTCTGGCGCCCGTCACCGTCGTGGCGGCTGCGCGGCTCTGTACCGTGCCCCGCGACCGGGAGGGAGACCAGGCCACGTGGCCGCGCTCCGGCGCCGTGTCAAAAGCGGCCACCACAATCTTCGCTGCCGTCTGGGCCAGATCAGGGAGCGCTCCAGCAGCCCCGCCGTCTGGAGACGGCCATTCCGTCGTGCCCTCGCGTCCAAACCGTGCCGGTTCTAGGCCGGGCTAAACTGAACCGCCGCGGGTCGTTTGGGGAGCGATTTCGTCCCGAGTGCTTTCACGTTCCGCCCCCACAGCTGACCTTTGGGCTGTTTGACTGGAGTTCGACCGTAATGGCATGTGGCCTCCCCGTCACCGATTGGCTAATTGCGACGCTCAGCGAAGACAAAGTGGAGGCGCGATCTGGACCCGCTTGCCTTGCAGCGATGTCTGAATGCCAGTCTGCATTCAATATGTGGTGCGGGCCCGTGTCGGGTTTATGCTTGACTTCCTTTGTGCACGTTCGACTAGGGGTGCAGCCGAGATTTTCTCAACGGAATGACCAGGAACTCAGTGGAAGCTCACCACGCTGGTTCTTTTACCTTTTCAGTAACCATCTATCGTGCAAAAATAAAAAGCGAGCTTGAACGGGGGGGATGGGGGGTTGTGCCTATGGTGTCAAACCTGATTCCCACTCACAGGCCAAAAGCTAATTCCAACTCTATTCCCAGCTAACAACTTACAAGTCGCAGTCAGCTCCACACTTGCTGCTGTCTAAAAACACATTGTGTCCGGTCTAACTCTGACCCAACAAAATTGTATCCAGCTATGGAGCCGGCTCCAGAGAAGCTGACGCCAGCTGTTTACTGTTGTATATTGTTCACAAAGATCACCTGCTACGTCGCAACATGGAAGATAAGCAGCTGAAGACCGCAAACCAATACACGCCAAATGAAATTAGTATCATCGTGTGCGGTGCATACTTAAGAATGTTCATTGCTGATAAGCGGAGCACATGAATTGGGAGCGTGCGAGGTAGAAATACACGCATGGACGTACGCACGTAAGCGTGTATATATATATACATATATACATATATATATATATATTATACATATATATATGTATATATTATACATATATATTATATATATATATATATATATATATATATATATATATATATATATATATATATATGTGCTTGCGCGCGTCCGTGCAAGTGTGCGTGCGTGCGTGCGTTCGTGGGTGCGTGGGTGCGTGCGTTCGTGCGTGCATGTGTGCGCGCGTGCATTCGTGGGTGCGTGCGTTCGTGCGTGCGTGCGTTCGTGGGTGCGTGCGTGCGCGCGTGCGTGCG